AGCCTAACTCGCGTCCAAACTTAACCGTTTGAGAGTAAAGCGATCATGGGTTCTTCTTCTAGAAATCTTTATGCAGGAATTGGAGAAGGTCAATCAACCTCGAGGCCACCGCTCTTTGATGGCACCAACTACACATATTGGAAAGAGCGGATGAGAATTTATATCCGCTCAACCAACTTTCAGTTGTGGTTGGTCATCAAGAATGGCGAGGAAACTCCAATGAAGAAGGTCGATGAAAAACTCGTCCCAAAGACCGAAGACGAATTTGATGCCGAAGACATCAAAAAGGTGGAGAACTACGCCAAGGCTATCAATATGTTGTACTGTGCCATCAATCCTGATGATTATCGTAAGATTTCTTGCTGCACCACTGCCAAAGAAATGTGGGACAAGCTAGAGGTCACATATGAAGGTACAGACCAAGTTCGGGAAGCCAAAATTGACTTCCTAACGCAGGAGTACGAGATGTTCAGGATGAAGGAAGGAGAAAAGATCGATGACATGTTCGATCGGTTTTCAAAAATCATCAACGACCTTCACGCTCTCAAGAAGACGTACACCAACAGGGATCTCGTGAGGAAAATCCTACGAAGCCTCACACCCGAATGGAGATCAAAGGCAGACACAATCTATGAATCCATCGGAGTCTCAAATGTCACCATCGACGGGCTAAGAGGTAATCTCAAAACTTATGAATCTACTATCCTAACCCCGTCTTTGGATGAACAAAAGAAGAAGGGTATAGCGCTGAAAGCAACCAAGGAGTCCGTGGAAGATGACTCAAGCGATGATGACAACGAGTTCGGACTTGTCATCAAGAAGTTCCACAAAGTCATGAAGAAAGAATTTGAAAGAAAAGGAAGAAAGCACGACGGGCCCCCGAAGTGCTATGGTTGTGGTGAGATAGGCCACATCAAGCCGAGGTGTCCAAAAAGCAAAGGCGGCAAGGACAAACCTGGCTTCAAAAAGCAACGCGCCTACATCTCTTGGGGAGGCGACTCCGGGGATGAGTCAACGGATCAGGAAGAGGAGGAAGCCGCCAACCTCTGCCTCATGGCACACGAAGATCAAACCGACAACGTTCAAGAGGTATGTACCATTTCTTCCGACTCTTATACTTTTGAAGAAATGAAAGAAGCACTTCATGAGCTTTATGATGAATTTGTTAGCGCTTCTAAAACCAACAAATCTTTAAAGAAACGCCTTTCAACTCTTGAAAATGATTTTTCCAAATTGGAAAAAGATAATGAAAGGTTGAAACAAGAAAATAAATTTTATGGTAAGAGAAGTGCTGACAAACCAGAAAGTTCTTCAAGTGAATGTGAATCTTGCAAAACTTTAAAAGAAAAAGTTGCAAAACTTGAGAGTACGGTTAAGAAGTTTAATACACCACACAAAGATCTTAATTTACTTCTAGACAC